AAACCCACAGAATGTGCAAGGCCAAGAGTGAACCCTAAGGTAAACTGTAGACTTGGGGTAATAATGATGTGTTGGTGTAGGTCCATCAATTGTAACAAATATACCACTTTATGGGGGATGTTGATAGTGGGAGAGACTTTGGGAGCAAGAGGTATATAGGAAATCCTGTACCTTCTTAATTATGCTGTGAACCTAAAACTGCTCTAGAAAATAGTCTATTTTAAAAAGTGGTTAATATCTCACTAGGACTTACTGGATATTGAGAAGATGAAAAGAAAACAGGGCGCTCAGCTCACTAAGGACATGAAATAAATACCAGTATTTTACAGTCCTGAAATAGGAACACCAGTATGAACTTTTCAGATATTTCATGTTAGGTTTCTGTATCCTGTTCTTAACACCTCAGCCCTGCTCTATACTAGTCACTGGGCTGCCTGTTACCCCTTCACCATTTCTCCTTTCTGTCAGCTAAGCTCCCTACCTCAACAGAACATTTTCCTGGAGACTTCCCCCATCACCACACATGCGCAGTAATCCATAGGCAGATCACACCAGTTCACTCTTGGTGTTGTACATTCTGTGAGTTTTGATGAATTTATAATGACATCTATCCACTTTTATATCAGACAGAATAGATTCACAGATATGCTTGTGATGTTAACCAAAGGTGTTGGGCAATAGTACTGGACACTTAAATGAGAGAGAAACCTGCAAAACTTGTTTCAGAATTTGGAACACGAAACCTCAGGAAAGTACAAGTCAGCATACAAATAAATAGCAATGTGCTCTCTCTCTATTCAGGTAGAAAACACAAAAGGTTGTTTTGTTCCAGTTGGGAAGAGTTGAGTCCCTGATAACTGGACTGGACCCACAAATGTTCACAACAGACCTAAGATTGCTGAAAGACTCAGAGGAAATCATTTTAGCAAATTATTTTATCTTTAGATAAATTGAAGGAGGATAAATTGGGCAAAGGATAGCTTAGCAGCAGTTTGCTAGGGAGGACATAAGATGACATTCTTCACCTGAAGGAGCGGGGTCAGATACCCTGGTCCAACTTGGAAATACTAAGAACTTGTGCCTCAGTTATCCAGTGCTCAGAAACAATCAGATGGAAACTAGAGTGGAGAATTATTCTAGCAGGTCTGGGTTAACCTTGTCCTGTAGCAAATGCAGAGAGTGAAGGGAACCCCTACCCTTCCTGAGGATGAGAAAGCAGACACCTCTGGAACAGAGTCCAAATACTGGAAATAAATGTACATTAATAGGAGACGGGCCAAATCGTGTACAGTGCTCCTAAATAAACCATTAAAAAGGAAAAGGTAGATTCTTATGTATGGACATGAAAAGCTATTCATTATTAGTTGAAAAACATTTATAGAAAATTAAATGTGTTTTTAAAATTTTTATGTTAAAAAGTTAATTTTATAGAGGTCTAAAAATACATGCAAGTATATACACTAAACTTAATAATGCTTGTGCTTCCAGGATGAGACTATGGGAAGGTGTTCATTTCTCTGTCTCTGTCTCTCTGACATAACAGGAAAAAAAGTTATATATATGTATATATGTAGGTCTTTGCCTGAACTCTAGGTACACAGCTCCTAAAACCATTGAATTCAAATTTCTAAGTGAGTGCTCGCTTCGGCAGCACATATACTAAAATTGGAACGATACAGAGAAGATTAGCATGGCCCCTGCGCAAGGATGACATGCGAATTTGTGAAGCGTTCCATATTTAAAAATAAAAAAACAACAAAAAATTTCTAAGTGATAAGATCACTAGGAGCATCTTTTATTCTAATGAGAGGACTCTGGGCTGGCTCTTGTATGACTCCTGGAAGAAAGCATGGGATTTTCAGTCCTTGCCACCCTTCTCCAGTCTAGGACACAGGATCTAACAGGTCTAACTCCATATTTCTCTTCATCTGGATGTTCATCTGTATTCTTTATCATATCCTTTAATAAAGTGGTAAGTGTATTTACATAAGTTCTTTGGGCCATTAGCAAATTAATTGAACTTAAGGAGGGGTCCTGGGGACTTCTGATTTGTAGCCATGTTGGACAGAAATAATGAATAACCTGAGGTATATAATGAGTAGTACAACTACTTGGACTGGCATCTGAAACGGGTGGGGACAGTTTCATGGATCTGAGCCCTTAACCTCTGGGATCTGACACTATCTCCTGGTAAATAGTGTTAGAACTGAGTTAAATTGTAGAACACCCAGCTGGTGTCCTAGAGGATTGCTTGCTGTGGGGAATCTACACCCCCTCCCTCATTTGGTGACTACAAGTGTCCCAAGTGAAGTATTGTGTGTAACAGTGTTACTGAAAGTAACTTGGGTCCATTTGCCGCATGCAGTAGAGCCAACCTACTTAACCCTGAATTGTGGTGAAGGAAACTCCTGTGTTTATTTGCAGGGCACCGAACAAGGGAGTCCAGGCAGCTAGTGCTCAAAAAACCTGAACTTCCTGAAGCCTTTCAGGAAGATTTTTGTTTTTTTTTTAAAAACCTTTTATGTAAGAGTATAGTTGATTGCAATGTTGTGTTTCAGGTATACAGCAAAGTGATGCAGTTATGCCTATACATGTATCTATTCATTTTCAAATGGAGAAAGGTTTTCAAGATAGGGTGAGGAAGTGGGGGTTGTGGGGTGTGTGATCCAGTCATGGATATTCTTCTGATTGGTTGGTGATGAGATAATGAGGAATTAACATCATCAGCCTTCTAATTCCGACTGGCCTGGGGTCTACATGCTTGTATGCAGCATATGGTTAACTTCTTCCATCTGGTGGGGGTTTCAGTATCTACAAAATAGTTCAAAGAATTTGGCTCAGAATATTATGTATAGCCCTTGAGGAAGAAGTAATAGTCCTTGATTAATGGTGAAACAGTTTAATGGCTAAACTATTATTATTTTGTCTCACTTGACTGTCTTCCTTTCTTCATTTTCATACTTCTCGGGTCTAAGAGGCTAATTTTTTTCTACAGACAAGATGGAGGCAGAGGACATGGCAGGGCAGTGGGACTTGTTCTGAGAATACGCCCCACAGGGTCCTGCTCAGTTACAAAAGTAAAGAAACACAGAGGCGAGAACTGGGTTTTCCCCTATGCAGGTGGAACAAAGTCTAGGCCTGGCTTTTTTTCCTTAATTTCACTCCTTTGTTGAGGACAGTGATTATATACTATCAAAAAAACCAATAAAGTTATTTTTATTAGAGAAGAAAAATATGTGCAAAGTACACTGAAAAGCATTATTTTCGTTATTTCCTTTTTATCAGCCTTCTTTCACTTCCATCTTCCTGATGTCCCACAGGTTCTCAACTCTGCCTGCACGTAAGTAGAACTACTTGGGAAGCCTTTTGAAATGCCAGTGTTTGCATTTCAACCCAGAACAATCGCACCTGGATCTCTGGACAGAGGTAGGGTTAGGCCTGTAGGTTCTTTTTTAAAGTTCCCAAATGATTCTAAGGTGTAGCAGGGATTGCAAACCTCTGTATCTTCAAGGGAATTAAACATGAACATGGAGAAGGCACTGGAAACCCACTCCCGTACTCTGGCCTGGAAAATCCCATGGACGAAGGAGTCTGGTAGGCTACAGTCCATGGTGTTGCTAAGAGTTGGACATGACTGAGCGACTTCACTTTCCCTTTTCTCTTTCATGCATTAGAGAAGGAAATGGCACCCCACTCCAGTGTTCTTGCCTGGAGAATCCCAGGGACAGGGGAGTCTGGTGGGCTGCCCCGTCTGTGGGGTCGCACAGAGTTGGACACGACTGAAGCAACTTAGCAGCAGCAGCAAATATGAACAGGTCAAAATGGCACAACTATATCACTAATTACATTTAGGTTCATTAACTGTTTTTAACTGACCCTGGTAGGGAGGGTGTTGGTCATGGAAAAGCTAATTAGGAGAAACTGTGTATTGTTCAGGATCACAGAAAATTTTTCAGAGAACAAAATAGGGAACAAAGAGCCCTTCCTTGGGATCAGACTTGGGTTGAATCTTGTTACTTGACCAGTTTGGCTTGGACAAGTTACAACTGACTCAAGCCTAAGTTTCCTCATCTGTAGAAGGGAAATGATAAATGTATCCTGTAGGATCATTGTAAGGATCTACACACAGGTAATATGTGTTAGATGCCTGGTACCTGATAGGTGAGTGGCAACTCTATTAATTAGTGATAACAAAGACCTTACTTTGAAGAACTTATTCTGAAGAATGGGGACAAAGTCATGTCCATAGATGGCCTGCTTAGGCCCTGCACTACTCAAGCCTCTCTGGAGGAAAGAACCCAGCACCTAGAGCAGTGTCTGGCACATAGTAGCTGCTCAATAAGTACTGGCCCTTAAAGTCACAGTCTATCCTGAGTCTCCTATTTAATACAGAGTCCTACCCCTGCTTCCTCTGGACTCCTGATTCCTCTTAAAGTACTCCCCCCCAGCACAAGCATCTTTTAGCATTTCATGTAACTTATTTCTTCAGTACTGTTGTATTTATTGCTACTTTCCTCCACCCACTCTCACCCCCGTCTAGATTGTAAGTCCCATGAAAACACGGGCTTTTGTAAGTTTTCTGCACTTTTGCATCTCCAACACCTAGAACAGTGCCCAACTAATAGCAGGTTATTGATAGACTATCTCTTGAATGAGTCGAATGTGGCTGAGGGGCTAAAGCCCTGGAGGTGGAGTCAGAAGGTCTCTTGGGATCACCACTGAATTTCCGTGTGGTCTTAAAGGTCTTTCCTCTCTCCTGTGGGCCTGCTTCTCCGCCTCTGACCCTGACCCATTCGGTTTCTTAGCCACTGGTCAAGCCGGCCGGGAGGCGTCGCGCCCCCGGTGTCCGCCAGGGGGCAGTCGCACACAGGGCCGGCCCCGCCCACTTCCCGGCGGCCCGCGGTGGGTGGACCCACGGGCCGGCGGGTACAGAAGCGGAGTCCTGCGTGCGTCGAACTCAGTTGTCAGCCCGCCTGCCCGCCAGCCCTCAGAGCCTGGCCATGTCCTGCTACATCTACCAGCTGCCCTCCTGGGTGCTGGACGACCTGTGCCGCAACATGGACACGCTGAGCGAGTGGGACTGGATGCAGTTCGGTGAGTGGTCCTTCCTGCGACCCCCACTAAGCCCCCTCCCCGCGAGACTACCGTGGTCCTTGATGTCAGGGGCTCTCTGTGCTGCTCTCCTGGGCCCGGGCCTCCTGTGTATCCTTGGGTAGGCGCTGCCCCTTTTCTGTTGGTGATCTGGAAGGTGTGAGGTGATCTCGGACGATTTCTGCTGTTACTCAGTCTGTCGCTAAGTAATGACCGGCTGCACTTCGCTGTTTACGGTAAAGCTGAAAATTGTTGCTGTCAGCAGTGACTGGTGCTTACTGTGTGCCGGCCCTGACGCAAACACCTGACACGGATTACCTCATTTAATTCCCACAACAGCCGTAAAGTGCATATTTCTCTCACCCCATCTTACAGACCAAGAGAAGGGTTTAGAGGTAGAGTCACTGGCGCGGGCAGCCACTTGTGAGAGTCGCTTGTGTCACGCAGTTCCCAAGTGGCGGGGTTGGCTTTAAACCCGGCGTCTGGCTCCGCCAGGACATCCTTCACTCCTTGGTGTATCTTCTCTGTTTGCGCTTGGTGATTCACTGAGGGCTTGGCATCTGGGGGCGTGCTGAGCATGTGGCCCTCAGGAGCCCAAACACAGGTCTGTACTCCAGGCTCCACCACATCCAACTGGTGACTTTGGGCAAGTTGCTTAACCTTAATCTGAGTCTCAGTTTTTTAATCTGTAAATAGAGGTGCTTGTGAGGAATGAAGATTATATAAAAAGCTCTTGACACCTGTGTGTCAGAGGTTCTTGTAAGTATTAAGGAAGTGTTAACAATGACCATTCTTAGTTTTTTTTTTAAACCATGCAACTGGTGCCACTTTATTTGAAAGGTAATATCTGTATTTTTTAAAAACTGAGATTATGATATATACCAGTTGAACAAAGAATGTAGTATTTATGTATGGTGGAAAGAATAATAATAAAATGAACATACATGTTGTTATCCGTCCCGTTTGAGGAAATTATATATATATATATTTGGAAATAATATATATTTTAAACTAGCAGTTCTAAACCAGGGGCAATTTTGACCCCTTTAGGGAACATTGCTATTGTCTGGAGACATTTTTGGTTGTCACAGCTTGGGGGATATAGTGAGTAGATGCCAAGAGTATCAGTAGCTCATTCATATCTGACTCTTCACGACACCATGGACTGCAGCCAGGCTTCTCTGTCCATGGAATTCTCCAGGCAAGAATACTGGAGTGGGTTGCCATTTCCTTCTCTAGGGGATCTTCCCAACTCAGGGATTGAACCCAAGCCTTCTACATTGCAGGCAGATTATCCGTCTCAGCCGCCAGGGAAGCCAAGGATGTTGCTAATTGTCCTACCATGCACAAAGCAGCCCCCTCCTCAAACAACTATCCAGACTGAAGTGTCAGTAGTGCTGAGGTTCAGAAGTCCTGCTTTAAACCAGTCACAAAAATAATACATGCTTATTGCAAAATACTGAGGAAAACAAAGATTAGCTCAAACTCTGCCACTCAGTGATACCATTCCTATCATTTGGGTCCCGACAATAATAATAATAACAACAAGAGCCGGTAACATGAATTGGCTTCTCACCATGTTCCAGCAGAGTGCTAGGTGTCTTATACCTTCTAGTCTTTTTTTTCCCTAAGTATATTTATTTATGAATATACATTTTCCAAAAGTCATATAATTTTGTACATTCTACTAGCCTACTTTTTTCACTTACACTGCATCACAATTTCTCCTTGCCAAGCAGTATTCCTTAGCAACACAGACTTCGATTTTTATTTCAGTGTGCATTCTTATTCACTGTTTAGTGGAAAAAAATAGCAGAGGTACGAGGTTCAATGAACAAACCAGGCCCCTGGAAAGTGCTATCTTTCCCCTCCCGGGCCCTCAGCCTCCCCTTTCCTCCCTGCAGAAGCAGTCCCTTGGTAACACATCAGAGCATCTCTGAGAAGTCTGTCACCATCTGATTTTCTAGACCACACTGTGACCCTTTGCTCAGATGATCTGTGATTTGATTATTTTTGATTGTTTCCTGGGTAGTGAACAAACACTTTATGTAAGAGCCTCTCTCTAGTTTTTTCCATGTTGGCCTCAGTTATGAAGGCCAGAACAACTTTTGTTTCTAGGATATTGATTTAGAAGGCACTCCTGTGAAGTTCTTCCTCTTTTTTTTTTAGACTAAAAAAATTTTTAAATTGAAGTATAGTTGATATACAATGTTGTAACTTCTGCTCTACAGCAAGCTGATTCAGTTATATATATATCTATATATTTTAAAAAAATTATTTTCCATTGTGGTTTATTACAGGATATAGGATATAGTTCTCTGTGCTGTAATGTAGGACCTTGTTGTTTGTCCATTCAATATATAACATTTTGCATCTGCTCATCCTAAACTCCCGATCCATCCTTCCCCCATCCCCCTCCCTCTTGGCAACAAGCCTGTTCTCCATATATGATGATTTTTTAAAAAAAGCACAATTTCATTGAGGTATAATTCAGCTGCCATGCAGTTCACACATTTAAAGTGTACCTAAAAGGCATCTAGTATATGCAAAGTTGTATATCCATTTCCATATCAATCTTAGAACATTTTAATTACCCCGGAAAGAAACCCTATACCCCTCAACAGTCTCCCCAACACCCCCAAACACATCTCCTGTTTCCCCCCAGCTTTAGGCATTGCCTATTTTGGACATTTCATATAAATGGAATAACTCATAAAATATGTACTCCCTTGCGACTGACTTATTTAGCACCTTTCCATGGTTCATCCATATTTTAGTGTGTATCAGTGCTTAATTTCTTTTTATTTATTACTGAATAATATACCATTGTATGGAGGTACTTCATTTTATTTATTCATCTGACAGCTGATGGACATTTGGGGTTCTTTCCACTGTTTGGCTATTATGAATAATCCCTGTGTACAGTTGTGTCCGTCTTTGCGTGGCTGTATGTTTTCATTTCCCTTGGGTAGATACCTAGGAGTGGAATTACTGAGTCACAGCGTAACTATGTTTAACACTTTGAGGAAGTGTTACACTGTTTTCGGAAATGCATTTACCATTTTACATTCCCACCAGCTGTGTAAGAGGGTCCCAATTTCTCCATGTCCCCCTCCATCCAAGCACTTGTTCCTATCTGTCTTTCTGAGTTTCTAGCCATCTCAGGAGCCATTCGAGGAGGTATGAAGTGATTTCTTGCTGTGGTTTTGGTTTGCATTTCCATAATGACTAATGATATTGGGTGTCTTTTCATGTGCATTTGTACATCCTCTGACCCCTTAGACTCTGGAGACACCAGAATTGCTCAAGGTCCTCAGAGGCTTCCCATTGTGATTTAGGTTATAATCCAAATTCCTCACCAGGCCCGCCTCATCTGGCATAACATGAGCCCCACTGACTTGTGTGACTCTCCTCCCACACCCAGCTCTTGCTCACCCTGCTCCAGCTATGCTAGCCTCCTTGGTCCAGACTCAGGGCCTCAGTGCTTGCTGTTCCCTCTGTCTGGGACATTCTTCCCCCATCTTCCCCAGAGCTGATTTTCTAGTCTCTATTAGACTTGTATTGCTGCTGTAACAAATTACCACAATTTACTGGTTTAAAAACAGCCTTTATTGTGTTACAGTTCTGGAGGTCAGAAGGCCTAAAATCAAGGTGTTGGCAGGGCAGCTGTCCTTGCAGAGGCTCTAGAGGAGAATCTATTTCCTTGCTTTTACCGGCTTCTAGAGGCTGCCTGCATCCCTTGACCTGTGGCCCCTCTTCCACTGTCAAAGACAACAGGGTAGCACCTTCAACTCTCTCTGACCTCTGCTTCTGTAGTCTTCTCTGAATCGGACACTCCTGCCTCCCTCTATAAGGACTCTCGGGCTCACTCAAATAATCCAGGATAATCTTCTCTCAAAGCCCTTAACTTAATGCCATCTACAAAGTCCCTTTTGTCATGTAAGGTGCCGTATCCACAGGTTTTGGGGTTTAGGACACTGACATCTTTGGGGTGCATAGTCTTTCAGTTCTCAATTCATACGACACCTTGTTTGAGAAGCTGACCCTGTCCCCCTTTCTTTTCTTTTTTTTTTTAATCTCATCTCTATGTTTTATTTTCTTCATTTCTCTTAACATGCTATGACCTTGTTCCTTACTTGTCTATGTTTGTCTGTCCCCAGGGAATGTAAGCACCATAAGGGCAGGGACATCACCTATCTCGTTTGCTTCTGTATTCTCAGTGGCCAGCCAGTGCACACTCTGTACCACTTGAGTGAAGGATGTGGGAATGGTGAGGACACAAGATGACCTGGAGCCCCGTGGTCAGCCAGCTGTCTGTGCTGAGTCAGAGGCCACTGGGCTGGGAGCCAGCCATGCCCCCCAAGTAGCAGCTCCTTGCCAAGGCAGCACTTGATGGTTTTCTGTTCAGCACAAGTAATTGTGATTGTCCTTCCAGCCCTGAAGAATCTTGGCTTCTGCGAGTCTCTTTTTTTGTTGTTGGGGTTGAAAGACCTTACTGCAAATTCCACAATTTATTCTTTTTTTTTTTCTTTAATGGCATTCTAGCTTTTTACTAATAGAGATAATGCCAGTCATTTTAGAAGCAATCATTCCTTAGGGCAGATTGTGATACTGGGGACTGGAGGTGGAAAAATTTATAAAGTGATTAAAAAATCATACAGCCACAAATGTGCAAACTCTTTGGATTTGACCATTTTGGCAGATAACATGTTTGCCTCCCGTTTGTTTCCCTATGATTGTGACCGCATTGATGTTTCCCCTTGGGGGAAGACAGGCTTCTCACAGTTTCACTCATCCCAGGTGTATTTCACGGGGTGCTGGGGCAGGGATTCCTTTGTTGGACGGCTCCCCTTCCTCCTCTCTCATGCACATACCGGTCTTTGTGTACAGCCCTGCTTTGTCCCTGCCCAGCCGTGTGACTTCAGGCAAGTGACCGCCTCGCTCTGAACCTTTAGTTTCCTCATCTGTAAAATGGGGATGAGTTGCTGAGAGCCTTAGAGGGCAAGACACTCTCCCTTTCTCTCAATCAGGAAGGAGTCTGGTTAGTCCAGACAAGGAACACTTCATCCAAGGGCGGATCATTTCAGGAGACTGTTCCCTCCCTGCCCCAGAGAGCTTTGAAGATGGGCAAGGTTTTCTCCTGTGTCCTGCAGGACTCAGGATCCCAGACCAGGAAGGATGATCATCACGTAGTGTTAACTGTCGGGGATGAAAGCAGGTTTTCATAAAGTATAGATGGCTTAACAATTACAGCGAGCATTTATATCACAGGAATGTTACCCTATACGTATAACTAATCTAATCCTTGCAACAACCGCTGAAAGCAGGTGCTATTGTTCATCTCATTTGAAAATGAGGAGACTGGGGCACTGGGGAGGTGAGGGGCGCCTTCCCTAAGCACACTGCAGATAAGTAGCAGAGAGAATATCTGAACCCAGGCCTCAGAATCCAAAGTCTGAGGACTTTGGTGGTCCAGTGATTAAGACTCTGTGCTCCCAATATGGGGGACCTGGGTTCTATCCCTGGTCAGGAAACTATATCCCACATGCCACCACTAAAAATCCTGAGAGCCACAACTAAGACTTGGTGCAGCCAAATAAATGTTAAAAAAAGAAAAGAAAAGAATCCAAAGTCTGGTCCCTGAGCCTGCGATTATAACATCCCTCCTGCTGACATAAGCGTGTATTTTTATTTCTGATAGAAGAGCCGACAAGAGTATAACCAGT